TTACCGTGTTGTTCCATCTGCACAGCCACGCTGGTTGCACCATCAGTCTGAGGGGCGCCTAGAAAATCTTCGAGACGAGCAATACGTTCTCGCAATTCAACAACGTTTCCACCAGCCATGGTCGCAAACTGAAGCTCTAATACCAATTGTCACGGAGTTAAATTTCTGTCTCTTGATGGCACTAGGATCCAACCCTTAGTCTCAGCCAAACACTCAGAATGCACACAGAAGGCACATAGAACAGAGAATGGACAGTAAGTAAACACACAAGCAAGGCACACAGAATTCACAAGCAACAGCCAAACCTTTCTTTCTCAATAAAGTATAAGGAACTCAACCTTGGGGTCTATTTACAAAAACGTGTCAACTCTCTTGTTCTACTACAAACCCCAAGCACCCTATTTATAATGTTCAAGGTGGCAGTTACAAGCCCAACCGCTTAGGCACATGTCTATAATTCAAATGCTACTAGAGGTCTGTTATGATTGGATGACAAGGAAGTTATAACTGGTGTCTGCATGCCTTTCTGAATCTGACAGAAATCCCACATGTTGTGCACTTGCCAGAAAATTGCCCAGAACGGCCATCATCTACAGAGCACATGCCTAACTTCCTCACATGTTGTGCATATGTTAGGAGCCCTCAGCATCCGAATTGTATTACATTCGTGCCTAACCATGGCCAATCCATGGCTCATTATTTAAGCTAGCATCGCCCTACAATTCAAGCCACCCGCTTTCTTGCTTGCATGTTGACTTGTGCTCACGTGCCCATGTGTATAGACTGTCTCCCTCAATCATGCATGGGACTTCTGCCATTTTGGCTAAGGCATGGGTGCCTTTTGGCGAGGCTACTCGATGTCAAATGCTGCCAATGGCTAAGAGGGTAACACTTATCTTTATAATAAAACAGTTAGGTGTTTAAAATTTTATCTCATACATATTTTTCCCCCAAAATCATCCCATCACCTATTTTTAAGCCTGTCAAAATTCGACAAGATACAATTAACCGACATGAATTAAGCGAGTTTGGGTGAGACCTTAACGGGTTTGGGTGATAAACGGGTTGACCCGTCAAACACATTTAATAAACGGGTCGTGTTCGGGTGAGACCTGTCAACCCTTTTATCACTCATTTATCGGTTTAAATAAATTTAATATGATAATAAATTAATAATTATATATATATATATATATATATAATGAATAAGTTAAAAAAAGTATAAAAAACGTTTAAAAAAAATGAAAAAAACATTTTAAAAAAATAAAAAAATCAGCTCAAAAAAAATAAAAAACAAAAGTTTCGAGCCTTGAGGCATTGAGTGTCCTTTTTATTTGAATCCCACGTCAACAGTGGAGTGGAGATAATAAGGCAGCAGTTGCCTATAAAAGAGTTGTGGGCCTCCCTCTCTCTCTGGTGTGGCTTATCACTTTGACGGTTGGCTAGAACTCTTTCAATTGTGGAAAGTGCGGTTTGAAGCAAAAATCATGGAGTTTAAATATTTGGTAAAATAATATAATTTTTTTATTTGTTATTTTTAAATTATTTAAATGAGTGGTGTCGTGTTATCCGTGTATTAAACGGTTTATGTTCGTGTTAAAAATTTTTGCTTGTTTATTAAACGTGTCATGAATGGATTTATATGTTTTTTATTCGTTACCCGTTTAATCTGACACGTAACTGTTTAACTCGACACGATTGACACCCCTTACCTATTTCAATCACATGTTTAATTATTTAATATTTGATTAATTTATAATTTAACATAATTTTTATTTCAGATATTATTCATACACGATAATATACATATGTTGAGAAAATTTATTGAATTACATATTTTTGTAAATATTTTTTAAAAAATAATGGATAAAAATAAATTTTAAATGATGTAATCAAATAAATTAAGAAAATAAAAATTATTATTTAATACAGTAAGATTGATTTGTTAGATGTTCAAATTTGTATTTCATCGTGCTTTCAAGCACGGGTTATAAGAAGTATATATATATATAGGGTAAATGCTTTTATCATGTGAATTTTTTAAAGATTTTATATATTTTAGATCAATGTTTATTTAGTTTTACTGATCTAATTATTCATAACCACTGGATTAACAGTGAATTTTAGTATTTATTGAGACTCAAAATCAATTTAATGATTGTAATAAATTGTATTAATAAATTATGTCCAAATAATATTATTATATATTTAAGGCTCGTTTTCACTATCTACTCTTTGTGAAAGAAGCTAGGCAACACATGCAAGAATTCCAGTATGGTGCCTATGCACGTGATCAAAACAAGAAAATCAGAATGGGTTTAATTTTAAAAACACGGATAATAATCGGATTAGATCTAACTATACAAAATTGACAAACTATAAATAGATCGTTATATTCCTAGATAATGCAACAAAAACACGCCACGTGTACCATGTTATCTATGATTTCATACTTGATGCATTTTATATGATTTCGCACGTATGTTTAACGTCTTTTTATAACATATAATGATTATGTCAATAAATTAAACTCAATCTTTATAAGTCACAAGCGATAGGAGCACATCAAATCCCCCTCCCCCTAAAAAAAAACTTTTTTTTTTAATCTTTTTGTATGGAATGAGATAAAACTGATAGACGAAAGGTTTTTGGATCAAAAAATTGATTTTTGTCAACTTTGAACCTAAATTAAAATAGTATTTGCTGATCGTTTTGATTTTTGAGTAAACTTTCATTGATTCGTATTCTATTCCACAAATAGAATAATGAAGTATATATTCGCTTGTCCAAATAGAATAGCAGTTGAGAAAATAGATTGTAAAGTGACCCACTTAAAATTTAGAAATAAAGTTTGGCACATGTGAAACTTAACATGAATCCTACATTAGTTGAGTAAGAAATCTTAAGTGAGCATATATATTACAAGTTTGCTCCAAGGGTTGACCCCAAGGGACACCCCACTTTTGTGGACAAGAAAGCACCTAGATGGATTTGGATTTGGATTCGACAACTCACGCGCGCATGCACCGCCGCACTTAAGCCGGACTTTGGTGCAGGTGTGATCTAATCTTATCTTTTTGGATAAAAATTATTTGCTACATGAATCATTCAATTCTTTCCCAATTTTGATTTTCCGCCCATTAGAATTCCAAATTTGCACTAGTTCAATTATGAATTTCCCACCAATCCAATTTTCAATTATTTCATGTTATACATAAATGGGCATCTTTGGTGGTTTTTTGGTTGTATTTGATCAGTGGTGGTTATTCCGAAAAATTATCTTTGCATTTATAAACAATCCAAATTTATTCTGCGTTAAACACTTATAGGATTCGTGACTAATAGAATCATTACATTATTATTTTTGTTGCTAAGAGTGTTAATATGAGACAGTACACAACACAGATCTAGTTAGTTGTTTAGTTGTGTAGTGCTTCATCTGTTTGTGTTGATCATTTTTCAAGACGTTCAAGTAGATTCATAAGCACCACCGTAGGGGTAAAACATATATACCTTAAGGACATAGAGTTAACATAAACCATGATCAAATTCTATAAGAGTTCTTATTCAACAATCGGGCCAGTTATTTGTTTTACTTTAATAAAACACTTCAAAAGTTGAATTTTATCCTCCGAACATTTTTCCCTCATTTGTGTCTTATCACCCCTACCGTTGCCCTCTCTCTCCTGTCTAGTCCCATCTCTCTCTCTCTCTCTTCCCCCATTCTCTCGTTTTTGTCACACCGAACACACAAACCTAACACACACACATACAGAATCTATCTCCCCACTCTCTTCTCACTATCTCCAGCTTGGAACTCCGGCGACAGTGCAAGATATTTCTCTCTCTCCTCCCATTTCTCCGTTCTCTGCATCACACACAAAGGATATGATAGACCTAATGGTCTTAAACGGATCAAATATAAAACTAACATTGACTCACGGGATCCATAACAATGATTTTTGATATAGGTATGTAGCGGAAATCTCCATGAGAAGAATATCAATAATACAGAATATTATCACAAACTTGATTCCCAGTATATTTTAGATAGGTTTTTCTAGAGAGTTGTGTGACAGAAGGGATTGAAATCTCCTCAACCAACAGGGGTTTGTCATTAGAATTCTCATTTTCTGGCTTAATGTTTTCTTTATCATGTGGGAAGCAGAAATATTCAGAACCTTGTTTCAAGACTTTGAATCCAGGAAGCTTAGAAACAATTGTCCATGGTAGTTTTAATATGACTTTAATAGGTCTTGAAAATAATAACCTCTTGATGGAACGTAGTGCGCCGCGATCTAATTTGGAAATAAACTTCCAAACCTCACCAAAGCATTGTTTAATGTGACTTGACTCCCCCAAAGAGTTTCCTTCACCTTCACCTTCACCTTCCTTTTCTCTATCTTCCTCGGCTTCAGTTATTTCCGTTGGTTCTTCGAATTCCGGCATGAATACATGGTACAAAACATCAAGCAAATGAGCACGCTTTGAAATTTGAAGATGTGGGTGTTCTTCCAGGAATTTGAATGGAGAAAGCTCTTTACCCAAACCCATTAACATTGAAACCAGCATGTTTTCTGCTAATTCCATTGATGAAAATTGAATTTTTAACATCTTTCTCAGTAGAAATAATGGAATTTGATTCTCTAGCATGACTATATCTCTGAGAATAGCATTATATGCAGACTTTCTTCCTGCAACATCAACCAAATGTGACATTCTTGATGAGACTCTAGTTAGTTCCTTACCTTGTTTGAACGCAAAGATTTGAAGGAACTCAAGCAAGAACGAAGCATCAACAGCCATCATCCAAGCTAATGTTTCGCCATTGAAATCGAGGTACTTGTCGTAAGAAGCTCGAATCCTAGGCCCATACTTTATCAGCTTTTCAACAACATGTTGAAACTTGAGGTTTTGAAGCTGTTTCTGAGTTCTCTGTGCTGCTGCGACCTTATATCTTTGCATTTCATAAAGCTCGGGACGCCAATAATGGTAAGGGCCTAATGCAACATCTTGTGGTGTGCAATGTTAGAATCTGGGTTGCTAGCCATTAGGGGCCTTGGGACATTGAAAATGCTGACTGGGATTTCATGGATATTTTCTTCAAGCTCTTCATCGAGAGCAAGGCGTATTTGAATGACCCATTGGTGCTCATCAAAGCTTGAACTTGTGCTTAAGTTTGATTTCATTGAAGATGAAAAGGAAGCCATGTTTTTTCTGGTTTTAGGAGGGAGAAATTTGTGGAAGTTTGACAGGGTTTGTACGTTTCTCGGAATTTTTTTTTTTGGGTTGTGCGTTTCTCCTGATAATTTTTTTTAAACGTATCATTTATGTTCTTTTTCAAAGTGACATTTCCATTGTATTCTATTCCAGTATGATTCTTAGGCACCTGATCAAAACATGAAAGTAATAATGAGTTTTCTATTTTGTGGAATGACGAGCCATTAGGTTTCATAATTCTCCTTTCTCATTAACTTTAATATAGGTTTAGTTTTAATTTGATAATAACTGAATTATCTCGTCAAATCTTTTTAGTAAATAAATTAACAAAAAATTCTAATACATATAGCACAAAATTGGCAAACTATTAGTATATCGGAAATAGAGTAAGCACATTTTAAAACAATACGATTAAAGCATATCACAAAACCAATAATTATCCTATTTTTGTGGACTCTTTCGACTTTCGACTCTCATTAACTAATAAAATTGGTAATTAACTACAATCAAAAGCAAAATATGTATGCAGCCGACGCAATTCCTTGGTAGAAAATGGTTAGTTACGTCTTAGTCCATGCCAAACTTGTGCAGTTTTGCTAGGCTTCATTTGTTTTTCTTTGACTTGAAGATCCTTATCCAATTTGATCAAAAACAGACTATGCATGTCCGAATTAGAGTGAGAAATACCTCATCACCTGATATCATAGGATTGTCAATATTTAAATTCAAAATATGTGTGTATTTACAGATTATCTCTATTACCATTTAAACTATTCCTTAAAATTTATTAAAATCGTTTTGAACTGCATCATCTAAAATCACGTTTTTACAACATCAATAATAAAACGACACACCTTTCCACCTATTGTAGAGGTGTATTGGAAGATATTATTGAGCAATCTCAATTATCCCCCCACTACTTGAGGAGTGAAAAATATCCTGCGCGGGACTAGTTGTGTCCCTTGGTCCCCTTTCACGTACTCCTCCTAAAGCACGCCATGCGCAGGATGAGAATTGAAAAATGTTGGACCTCAAAGTTGGTTATCATTAGATTAGAATCAAATCTGGAGATGAGTAAAAGATAACTTTTAAAACTCGTTAAGATTTAAGCAAATGTTTGGTAATATCGTTCTGATTATTTGATGCTCCAAGCACTTTCGTGCAAGTAATAAGTCAATTGCTTCATCAATATAACATTTTAAGGTTAAGTAATAATTTTTTAGTTCTGTAGGTTATAAAAATTAATTTTTTGATGCAACATGAATAGTGGAGGACTACTGATCAAGACCATCAAAGGCAGTATTAATTCCGGCACCGATCAAAGTTGATTTTAAAAACAATGTTAGAAAATTACAAAAGACCTTATTCTAAAAAAAAATTTGATAGACTGAGCAAAGAGAGAAGACTTCAACCTTGCCCCTTTTAAGTCAAAAAAACACCATTTATGACACTTTTTTGGTATTTTGTTATTTTCATGTTGTTGTTTGTGGTATTTTTGTAGTATTACATATTTGTTTGGTTTAACTAATAATTTAGCACCATTCCGGTTTCTTATTTATATTATGGTAAAAATATATTGAACAATTTTTGATTAAAATTCAGGAGTTAACAAAATTCTTAAAATCTGTAATCTGATATCACTTTCAGTACAGTATGGTAGGTATTTATATTATGGTAGGTATTGTCCAATCAAGATTTTGTCATCACTTTCAGTACAGCTATCAATTTTTTATTTGTTTTTCCTTAGTATTATCCCAAGGTATGACTCTGTGGCTCGGATATATTTCTGATGCATTCCTGAAAGCTTGGACAGAGCCAAGCATAAAGTATATCCCCAACATGAAACATGGGTAGATGCGCGCACGTGCTTCGCCAAGAATATTGTATTGCTACCACGCATTTATTTGGATGTTGGAAACTAAGAAGTCTGTATTTTCAAACTCCCACCCAAATTATCCTATCACACTTAGGGATATTCATGGGCTCGATTGTCCCCGGTTTGGTTATCCGATCCAAAAAATTGGCTTGAAACTTAATAAGTCCATTAGTTGGTTCACCCAAGCTCAAGGTCAAACCCAATATTCTTCAAGAGAGGGGTTGTAGAATTAGTTGAACTAGAACTACAAGGATAAGAAAAAAAAATAGTTGAAAGAAGTGTGCTGGCCAATAATGTTTTGATCTTTTATCTGGAACTTATGGATGGATAGGAATAGGGAGTGCATCAATTCCACACTCACTAATCCTAAGATAGTGGCCAAAGAAGCTTGGCTACTAGCTCTTGATACTTCCAATGCCTTCCATGGACCACAACTGGCCAACTTAGGAAGACCTAACAGGATGATTAATTGGATGTTTCCATCTACAAGTAGGAACAAATTAAACACTGATGGTTATTACAACGGAAATCTAGGTCCTTCACGAGTGGGAGGACTTATCAGAAATGAGCAAGGATACTGGTTACTTGGATGTTCATCTTGGATGCTTGTTGCCCATCAAGGTTTGGTCCAGAGTTCATATTGGATGCTTGTAGCTACAAGCATCCAATGTGAACTCTGGACGAAACCTTGATGGGCACAATCTCACATGCGTGACTATATCCTGTCAAAGTTCCAAGCATCCAAGATGAACTCTGGACCAATCCTTGATGGGCACAATCTCACGTGGGTGGCTATATAATGTCAAACTTCTTGAACAGATTCTTAGCACCAATCACTCATATGCCATTATCGTAAAAGTATCGAATCTAATTCACAAAACTCTCACTTGTCACAGAATTTAAAAAAATACAAAAACTAAGTTATCTTACCCCTATTTTATGTCGTGGAGAAAACACCCACCATTCATACACCATCCATTACATTCAATCATTTTTGTCTTGATCTCTGGAGATTCGACTTACATGGAAAGTTGGTTAAGCTAGAGGTGTGTAACCACCATCTCCGAAGGCAATATCAATTGCCTTAAGCCATCTCCATTTTAGTTGACTACTAGCTCCAATTTGAAGGGTTCAAATGATTAATCAACTTGTTTAAGAGTTGATTCTATAGTGTTCAGCACAATAAGCACCCACCGCTATAGGTGTTTGCAAAAAAAAAAAAAAAATCTCTGTACTCATTAAAATTATATATTTATATATTCTTCCCTATGTTAACTTATTTACTCTTACAAAATTATATTTTATTTAATTTTACTCATTAATAGATCACACACCGTATGTAAATATTGAATCCACTTATAAATATTAAGTCCCACTTTAATTAACATTCAATGAGAACCCAAATGTGTTAGCTTAGTGGTAACTCAGTCACCTGATAAATCTCTCATGAGAGGTAGGTCAAGGTTCGAATAACCAACGAGAGTAGTCACTTGTGGCCATTGCCCATAGATTTTCTCCCTTGTGTGGAGAAGCGGTTTTACACAAATTTCAATATAATCTGGCACATGAGCTAGAAAATATTATGGTGATCTATTGGGACAGCTGAGATAAAAAAAAATTTCAATGAGTTCTACATGATTACCCATCAACCATCAAATTGGACAATAAATGTGAAATAAAATCTGAAAAACAACAGGTGAGTGCTTACCAAACATTTATCACATACTAAATTAATTTTCATAAAATCTAACAACTTTTCATAAGGTCCTCAATTAAGTACGTGAAAAATCAGACTTTTAGAAGATAGTGACAAATCAATAATGAATTTAAATGAACATATTACCAATTAGGGGTGTAATTTCGATGGGTTGGGCGGGTTAAACCCTAGCCCGATTTTAGGTATAAAATTTTCAATCATAATCTTAATCTTAATCCTAATCTGACCTCAACTCAAAATACTCAACTCAAGTGCTGCCCAAGTTAATTTGGGGCAAACTCGAGCTGAATTTGGGTTACCCAACTCAAGTCCAATTTGGGTTGGCAATTCGGCCTCAAAAAATAATAATTATAAATTAGGTATGAGCATTTGCACAATATTTGACTATTACATAAGCTTATATAGCCCACTAAGATGAAGTCCATCAAAATAACTTATTAATAGTATAAAGTTGAACCTTCTTTATATAAAATTTTCAATCCTAATCTTAACCGTAACCCTAACTAGACCCCAACTCGAGATACTCAATCCGAATATTTTCCGAGTTAATTTTGGGCAAACTCGGTTTGAAATTGGGTTGCCCAATTCGGGTCCAATTTGAGTTGACAATTCGGATTCAAAAAATAATAATCATAAATTAGTTGTGAGTCGTTGCACAATGTTGGACTATTACATAAGTCTATATAACCCACCAAGATGAATTTCATCAAAACAATTTATTAATGGTGTAAGTGTGAGCCTTTTTTATACAGGGAGAAGGGAGAAGGGAGAGGGGAGAGGTCATTCGAGCTGTGTATCTGATGTAGGGTGACAACTCCTTATTTTTCTTTTGTCTTTTTTACTTATATCAAATCGATTGTGTAAACTTCTTTCACCATCTATGATCCTTATAAATCATATTTCATTTTCACTTTAAATAAATAAATAATAATAATAATAATACTTATATACATGAATTCGGGTTGGGTTCGAGTTGAGCTAGATTTCATCATTTTGGGTTAGATTAGGGTTAAGCCTGTGAACCCGAACTCTTAACATAAGTCTTCCTCGAATTCAATTCAGGTCGAAGCTTTTGAACCCTAACCCTAAAAGTCTCAATCCTAACACTATTTTTTTCAGATGGGATTCGGGTTCAGCCCAATTTCATTATTTCAGGTGGAGCCCGTAAATCTGAGTCATTAACTTGAGACTTACTCAAATTCAATTTAGGTTGAAACTTTTTAACCCTAACCCTAAAAGTCTCAACTCTAACACTATCTTTTTCAAATTAGGTTCGAGTTGGTTGGTTCAAGTTGCACCCCTATTACCAATCCAACAAAATTGGGCTCAAGTCTATAGACAATACATAGTAAACAATTT